TCTTCGATTCAAGGGGCAGAGTGGCGGCCTCGACGACAGCTGCGACGCCGGCGACTACACAGCTACACCTACTACGCCGAGGGCAAGTCCTGTGGGTGTTTGAGCGAGGGCGCCCTGACCACCCAACCAGCGACCTCTACGCGAACGAGGCATGTGGGGGCAAGGGCACGCGCTACGGTCGGGACGATGCATTCTGACTGCAATAACTGCGTTGCCCTGGACTGCGAGTTCAAGTGCAGCCAGGCTCTGACCTACGTCGGGGGAGGTAGCCGCTGTCGGCCACGGTGCCGCCTGATCATCGGCCCCCTGTGCGTGCGCGGCGTCGGTGGGGTGAGGCAGTCTCCGAGGCCGCCCCCGCTGCTCAAGAAAGGCGCTCTCGCCTGGGGCAATGCCGAGGATCAGCCGCTGCAGTACAATAACCGACTTACAGTGCCAACAGAGGACATGAACGGGCAGTGCGTGAATCCCACCAGCCCTCTGGGCGTAGGTGGTCTAGAGCAGATCCTCTTCCACCCCTCCCTCTTCCCCCTTGGGGAGGGGTTTACCCCTCCCCCTACCCCCTCCCCTGGACCTGGACGGGGGGGGCCGCGGGTAGTTAGAGCGTCCAAGATGGCCCAAGACGGCTCCAAGAGCGCCTCAGAGAACCCAAGATGAGCTCCAAGATGGCTCAAGATAGCGCAAGATCGCTCACGATGGCTCCTAAGATGGTTCCAAGAAGCCCAAAGACGGCCCCAAGATAACTCCAAGTGGCCAAACAGCTCCCCAAGGAGGCCCCGAAGAGGCCAAAATCGTCCCAAAACCTAAGGAAAATCAATGATTTTTGCTTTCTCGCCTTTTCGCTTCCGATGGCCATCCGAGGCCTGGAGATGGCTCCAAGATGGCCCAAGAGGGCCCCAAGAGAGCCCCAAAAGAGCCCCAAGACGGCCCCAAGAGCGCCCAAGAGCACTCCAAGAGCGTTCCAAGAGGGGTCCAAGAGGCGATTTTAGGGGCTTCCGAGGGGGGGCGCTAATTAAACCCCCCCTCTTGTTTGATCGACTCCCTCCAAGATGGCCCCAAAAGCGCCCCGAAGGCTCCCCAGAGCGCCTCAAGAGGGTCCCAAGAGGCGCCCAAGATGCCCCAAGGCGCCCAAAAAGCCCTCCAAGAGGCCCTCAAAAGACCCCCAAGAAGCTCCTTCCCCTCCTCCTCCTCCTCCTCCGATTCTTCCTCCTTCTCCGTCCTCCTCCTCCTCCTCCTCCTCCTCCTCTTCCCTCCTCCTCCTCCTCGACGACGACGACGACGACGACTCCTCTTCCATCCTCCCCCTCTCGGGGTCTGTGACAGCTTCCCCCGCCCTTTGTTATTCTGCATGCTCCCCGACTTCCCTGATCACCTCAACTCCCCTGAGCATCGTTTCTGGATGGGCTGGTGGGGATACGCGAAGCGTCAACAATTTTTGGTGGGTGCCAAGCGCAATGATCGACCTTTCGCAACGGTGCATGACAGAGATCGCGAGTTAGCTGCTCATGTGTCGGACATGTGCTACGTCAAGGAATTGGGTTTCTCAAGACGTTCACATCTCATGAACGGGTTCATGCGCATTTTCGAGGGCCATCGGAACTTCCTACCATTATCGGCGAGGGATCGAAAGGCATGGGAGAGACAGCAGACCATCGGCGAAGGCAAACCCATCCCGTTTCAAACCATGGGACTGATTATACTACTGTTGTGCCGTATGGGAGCAGCTCCTGAAGCATGTGCAGCAGTTGTTTAACTAGATGGGTGGCTTCGTGAACAGGACTGGTCAATTCTCAGACGTTCGGACATTTCTTTTGATAGCTGTGGCAATGTTACGCTCACCCAGGGAGAGCGTTCAAGGGGTGAAAAGGTCAAGACGGGTGCAGGCCTGGAAGTGCATATTGAGTTTGCGATCGCGAAGTGCATGTTGCGAGTAATAGTCAAGGGTTTGAGCCCGGACGAACAGGTCTTTCCTCTTACCACGGATAGATTTCGCAGACAATGGAACACGGCGCTGGAATGTTTGAACCTCACCCAAATGGGACCACCACATGGCATACGCCATGCTGGTGCAGCGCGCTACGTTGCTAACAAATAGGGAATTGGAATATGCACGACGCCGTGGTAGACGGAATACTGCCTCGGCCCGACAACGATATACCAAGACGCATGTGCTCATACGACGTCGTGCCGAGCTACAGCCTCAGCATATTTCGGAGGGAGAAGCTTGTTTGGGCAGCTCCTGGAAGGTCGATGGCGGCTGCCTTGACTCACTCAACGGCGGCCAACACCCCCTTCGTCAAGCGCCTGGTGCAGGCGCTGAAGGAGCTCAGGAATGACTGTCGACCTGGGCGCCAGCTCGAGCTTTACTATGAGGCCCGAGGCTGGTCGCCCAGCTTCAGGGCTAAAAGCCTCGCGCAGACGCAAGAGTGCGAGGTAAGTTTGGTATACTTCGTCTGGCCTGTGCAGTCTCATCTTTGGGGGGGTAAACCACCTGAACCGAGCAGAAAGGGTGTTTCGACTTAAGTCTATGTAAGTATGGATTTTTCCCCGACCCACCCACCCTGGCACTACGGTGCTAGGGCCTGTACAGGCCAGCAGGGGGCTATGGGCCTCTATGGGATCAGCTCCTGTGTGCGTGCTTTTTGAGTGGGCCCCACGAGGTGGGGGCCTTGCAGGTCAGGTACCGTGGGCCTCTTTTCTCGGGGGCCTTCGACTAGCCCCGTGCACAACTGCTTCTGAAATGACTCTGGGTCGGACGACCCGCACTGCCGCCTTTGCTGGAATGAAGAGGTCATCGTCTGTGAACGGCATGTCGTGATTTGGTGTTCTGACTTTTTTATCCCCAGGCTGTTGCCTGTCCGTCGGACCCCCTCTGCTACTGGCTCAGGTGGGCCCCTTATAGCTGGTGATAAAAGGCCCTCTTTCGCGCTGCGCGAGGCCATTGGCTGCTTGCTGCTGCTGCTCCCATCGGCCCCACCAGCACAGCAAAAACTCCCCCTCCCCCTCTCCCTTTCCCTCTCTCCCTTTCCCTTCCCCGACAATCTCCCGGGGCGTGCCGAAGCCGAAAGGGTGGCACTCGACCCTCCGACCTCTAGAGCTTTGGAAACACGGGCCCCCTGGAAGCCCCGGCCACTTCCCCGGGGTCGGCTCGCCTTGCTGAGCCGTCTTGCTACAGTGGAGGCCCGTCCACAAGAAACCTTCCACCAGAAACCCAGCCTTGAGACCCCAGCACGTTCATCGATGTTTGGTGTGGGAACGTCACGCTGTCCATCGCAAAACCATCCAAGCCCAACAAATCCATGGCACCCTGGAGGCAAGCAGGGTGTTTCTTGGCATGGGCCCCCCCTGTACGGTCCTTGAGGCCGAATCCGGCCCCCAGAGAACGCTTCTTTGATTTCTTCAAGGCGCTGGACGCCTGGGTGGGGACCACAGCCCCCCAATCTCGGCTAGCCTGGTGGCCTTCCTTGGGGTCTGAGTAGGTTCGGGTTCCACCTGAGTAGGTTCGGGTTCCACCAGCGGGGGGGGAACCCCGAGGGGGGGGATGAATTCGATCCGCTGGTGCATCGAACTTCCGAAAACCGATGCAACCCGCGTGCCCCAACTGTCGACACCTCTCGGGTTCCGGCGGCGGCCAGGGGCCTCGCTTTGCATCGTTTCTGGGCGGTTCGATGCACCAACGGACCGAACTCACCCGCCCCCCTGTGCCCCCCCCCCCTCTGCGAGGTCCCGATCGGTGGGCTCGGAGGATCGCGACGGGTCGCCCACGCATTGCCGATGCATCGGCGAAGCACTGGTGAGTTCGGCAGTGCACCGGCGCCATCGGCGCGCGGAAACTCGGGCTCCAACTCGAGCCATATCATCGATGCAGCCGCGATGCGGCGCGAGATTCCAGGAGTTCGCGGCGAATCCGGCCGCGAGGGAAGGGTTGAAGCATCTGTATCTCTTCCTCCTCTGACGCGTATTATGCCCACAATGAGTACGGAGAAAATGGGCACGATGTGCGACAACAAATTGCTGTCCCAAACCGACAACGGCCGCTGTGGGGCAGGCGGCCGTCTGCCTCAAACGGACCACGACCGCGGCCTCGCCGACAACGAACCCTGTCCAGGAAAAACATGAACTGTTGTTGGACTGATCTGATGGTCCCGCTCTGACGGTCTGGAGAAAGCGCTACTGCTGCTCCCCCGACCTCTGGGGTGCCTTCTGACCGAATCCAGCGGTGGCGACGAGGGCCTCCCAGGAGGCCGCCAGAGGGGGAAAACAGGCAGAGGACAGCTGTAGAGTACATTCCAAGACCCCCGACGTAATGATTTTTCCACTGCGTCGACCCCCAGAGGTCCCGACCCGTTCCCCAGGACCGACTTTGCATCCTGAGCCGTTTTTTGACGCCCCCGAGGCCCGGTGAGGGCCCCCCCCGGGGGCCGAAAGTTGGGGAACCCTCCCGGCCTGACTTCTTCATGGCTCGAGGGGGTCTGGGTCCGATGATGCTCCCGACCCAGAGATCCGATGTCGTGATTTTTGTCAATGCGCGGTCCCTGGAAGCCTCGACCCGTTCCCCAGGACCTGTGTTTCATCCTGGGTCGTTTTCTGACGGTGGGCCCCCATGGGGCCGAAAACTGGGAAAAACCTCTCCCGGCCTGACTTCTTCATTGCTCGAAGGGGGTCTGGGTGCGATGCTGCCCCCGATCTCCCTTACCTTCCAGAGAGCTATTTTTTGCAGCACCGGAGGCCTAAAAACCTAAAAACTAAACGAAACAGCCTAAAACCAAGACGTAGAATAGCTCTGGGATAGGTTTTTAGGTCGGGTGCTATTTTTTAGCCCTCCTGGAAGGTCAGGGTCGGGTCCCTGGAAGTCTCGACCCGTTCCCCAGGACCGGTGTTTCATCCTGGGTCGTTTTCTGACGGTCCCGAGGCCCGGCGAGGGCCCCTAGGGGCCGAAATGACAGAAAAACCTCCGTCTTGATTTTTCAATGCGTTGGATCTCTGGGGATCTGATGGCCTGCCTCCGCCACCACCGCTCCGCGCGCTGCACCGCCAGCGTCGCCAGCACGCCCGCCGCGGCGCCGCCAGCCGCCGCGAGCGCGAGCCGCGGGGCCCGCGAGGCCGCGGCGGAGGCAGCCGCCATGGCCGGCGGGCGACTTACGGTGCTCCGGCTGTGGTGGCTGCCGCGGGGCCGCCGGGGCCGCGGGGGCCCCAGACCCCCTCGAGTAATGAAAAAATCATGACGGGAGGTTTTCCTTAATTTTCGGCCTCTGGAGGCCCTCACCAGGCCTCGGGAGCGTCAAAAAACGACTCAGGATGCAAAGCGGGTCATGGGGAAAGGGTCGGGACCTCTGGGGGTCGACGTCATGAAAAAATCATGACGTCGGGGGTCTGGGAGGTCCCCTGGCCACCGCTCGGACGTCCATGTCCTGTGCTTTCTGCGGTTTCGTGCGAGGTGTTTTCGCGGAAGGATCAAGGATGCTCCTCGATGGTCCTCGCCGGAGGAAAAATGCACACGTCCGAGCGATGCCAAGGTCCCCTGGGTCTGCCGGGGCCGCCGGGATCGCGGGGGTCGCTGGGGGTCGCCGGGGCCGCCGGGGCCGCCGGTTGCGGGGGCCGCCGGGGCCGCCGGGGCCGCCAGGGCCCGCCGGGGTTGCCGGGGCCGCCGGGGCCGCCAGGGTCGCCGGGGCCGGCAGGGTGGTGAAGTAGGTTGTGAAAGCTCTGTGAGCTACGTGGTGCACGCTATGCGGTGTAGTGCATGCGGTGCCAGGTGCGCGGCGTAGGCCATGCTGCGCCCACGAGCCCTCGGGTCCGCTCTCGTCGTCGGGTTCGCTCGTCGTCGTCGTCGTCGTCGTCGTCGTCGTCGTCGTCGTCGTCGTCGTCACCGTCGTTGTCGGGTCCTCCGCATCCCCATTGTCCTCCTCCTCCTCCTCCTCCTCCTCCTCCTCCTCTTCCTGCCTCTCTCTCTCTCTCTCGGGCTCGCTCGTCGTCGTCGTCGTCGTCGACACCGTCGTTGTCAGGTCCTCCTCCTCCTCCTCCTCCTCTTCCTGCCTCTCTCTCTCTCTCTCTCTCGGGTTCGCTCGTCGTCGTCGTCGTCACCGTCGTTGTCGGGCCCTCCTCATCCCCATTGTCCTCCTCCTCCTCCTCCTCCTCCTTCTCCTCCTCCTCTTCCTGCCTCTGTCTCTCTCTCTCTCGGGTTCGCTCGTCGTCGTCGTCGTCACCGTCGTTGTCGGGTCCTCCGCATCCCCATTGTCCTCCTCCTTCTCCTCCTTCTCATCCTCATGCTCTCCTGCCTCTCTCTCTCTCTCGGTTCGCCTCGTCGTCGTCGTCGTCGTCACCGTCGTTGTCGGTCCCTCCTCATCCCCATAGTCCTCCTCCTTCTCCTTCTCCTCTCCTCTTCCTGCCTCTGTCTCTCTCTCTCTCTCTCTCATTCTTTTCTCTCTCTCTATCTCTCTCTCGCGGTTCTCTCGTCGTCGTCGTCGTCACCGTCCGTTGTCGGGTCCTCCTCATCCCCATTGTCCTCCTCCTCCTCTTCCTGCCTCTCTCTCTCTCTCTCTCTCTCCCTCTCTCCCTCAGATTCGCCCGTTGTCGTCGTCGTCACCGTCGTTGTCGGGTCCTCCGCATCCCCATTGTCCTCCTGCTCTTCCTCCTACTCCTCCTCCTCCTCCTCTTCCTGTCTCTCTCTCTCTCTCTCTCTCTCGGGCTCGCTCGTCGTCGTCGTCGTCGTCACAGTCGTTGTCGGGTCTTGCTCATCCCCATT